GTAATTATCAATTAAACTTCTTAAAATTGAAGTTTTAATTCCATTTTAATACCACTGGGAAAAATGATAATGGAAAGGATTAAAAGTTGGCAGGTATGCACCTGTAAATCGAATTTACTAAATAAAGAATCATACATTAAAGCACTACCCTTCGAAAATATTCATCCGCTGTCGGGAGCAAGCTGCAGGAATGCAACAGACGACTAAAAATTTTAGAAAGTGGTAGAAACTTAATTCATTTTTATTTATTTATTACCACTTTAATTGATCAATCGTAATTATCACTATGACTTTCATTTTAAAGTATTCATATTTAAAACAAAAACATTCTTTACCAAAGGTTTTTATAGTAAGCTAAAATTAAGCTTTAAAACATTGGAAATTTTAATAAAATTTTGAATTTTATTTGTCACCACAATTTATGTATTTAGTCACTCGTGACAGTTCGGAAGTTGGCAACTCATGGTAGAAACTCAGTTAATATTTATTTATTTAATCTATTTTAAGTATTTCATAGAAAATAAAACATTATGACTTCACATTGGAAATTATTTATAATTAAACCAAAAACAGTCTTTGATTCCATTTACAGCAATAAATTTTAAGGAATTACAGATTTTTATTATTTTACAGAAATTACAGAATTTTTACAGATTTTTGCTTTTTACTAGTCACTACTTTTTACATTTTTAGTCGACTGGGGCATCCCTAAGCCTCGTATATAAGTCGCGTTCTTTCGCAGACTGTATTTGTCAGCACAACTAATACTAAACTATAAAAAGAATAAATATTTACTTCGTCTTCTTTTTGAAAGGTTCTTGCTAAACCATTCGCTGCTACATGTCCGTGTTGTTCCACATAACACGCGTCCTTTGGAACACATACATGAGGCACACGAATTGGGTTCCCATTCTTCAAAGTGATGAAACAGCTCACCATCAACATTACAACTATTTCCATCATGACCTATTTTGAATAAAAGAGATAGAGGAGATTTGAGTTTAAAACAAATAGGAGGAAATAATTAAATTTCATTTTAACAGTCGACATTGAGTCATAAAAGCTAAAGGTATAAAAAAAAATAGCTAGAGCCATTGAAAGGGTCATTTCATCATTAAATTAACAATGTTGTTTACAAAATGTAATAATTGAGTTACAAATGCAAAAGGTGATTACTACATGGGATATTTCGTCCTTAAATTAACAATGATTGTAGCCGACCGGCCTTTGTAAGGGACAGGGAACTGTCCTTGCATCAGAAAGGCTCCGGGTTCGAATCCCGGGCAAGGCATGGATGTTCTTTCCTTCTCTGTACTATCTGTCCTCACTGTGGGAGCGACGTTGGCCCACCTAATATGGTGCCCTTGAAAGAGAGGCCAACAAAATCGTCCTGTATGTGCCTGAATTGACGGATGTTAACACAGGTGGGCATTGGAGAGAAAAAATTAACAATGATTGTAGTTTCACTCTACCGAACTTTATTAGAAGTTTCTTAGATAATAGATCTGTGAGCCACTCAATGCAGAATACATAGATATTACAAAACGTTACTATTGGAGAGCCACAGGGTTTGAGCCTTGGTCCAATCCTGTGGCTACTCATCGCCAATATAAAATTAAAAGAAGACAGGAATATGAATGAAAAAATGACAATTTCTTTGTTACGATTTCGTGATCAATATTAAATCGATTAAGACCATAAATGACCAACGTACTAGAGAACTTTCAGAAATGGGCAGAAGCAGAAAACCTGAAATTTGGTGTAGGAAAAACACAAGCCATAGTCTTTCCGAAATTAAACAAAATCACCTGGAAACCAACCGTAAAACTTGGGGTACAGAGTATATCCATAATCCCAGCCATAATTTACCTTGGGTACCATTTCAACTGTCAGCTCTCCTGGTTGCCCCATTTGGATAAGCTTTATATTAAAATCTCTATCTTCCAAACTAAACAGAACAGAATCTCTGGAGTAGACTGGGGTATGAGCCCACACATTAAAAAATTCATTTTCCAAAATAGTACACAAAGATTAATCACTTATGGAACCGAAATGTGGTACAATAATCAAGTCAGAACTCTTTATAGACCATTTTCGTAATGTTTCTTATTTAAACACCTGACATAGTTACATCTGCATCCTATTTAAACATCTAGCATTATTAAAGGGAAGTTTTGAATCTTGAGTATTTTTACGTTGAATAACTAACTATATGACATAACTAAAGTGACCAAGCTGTTAGAACTAATATATAAGAAGCTATAAGGATTTTCTGCATAAAAAATACAATTTTGAACCTGTGCAAATTTGTTCATCTGACATTGCTGTTTAAACAAGTGAAACGTTGTGTCTTTTGTGTACTTACGTTTAATTCAATAAAATCAAAACTAAATCAGTAGAATTAATAGTTTCGAAGCTAAGATTATATGCGTAAAAATATATAAGTTAAGAATTACATTTTAAAATTTGAAACTCACATAACTTTTTAACTATAACATTTATCGAGTTAGTTTTGATTTTATTCGATTCAGCGAATACAAATTCTACAGATTCATTACTTTACGTACATACATATTTCTCTTTTTTTTCGAATTGGAGCATATCATAGCTTTATGGACCATATATTTCTATCATAGCTCTCCATCTCACCTGTTTGTGGGCAGATATTTTGCCTCTCTACATGTCTTTACTATTGTTTTCAATTCACTTACAATCGCACTCCGTCAAGTAGTTTTAGGTGTTCCTCTTTTTCCATTGCTCTGAGGGTTCCAATAAAAAACTTGTTTTACTTAAAGTTTTTCAATTTTGCATAGAACATGGCCAATTCATGTCCATTAACGTTTTTAATTTCTAGTTCATTTGGTTTCTTTTTTACTTTTCTAAGGATTTCTGCGCTACAAATTTCATGGAACCACTTGATACTTAAGATTCTTCTAAAACTGTTGTTAATAAATACTTGAAGTTCTCATATTATTTTTATGGCAGTGCCATCACCTGCCAGTGCTCAGAACCATAAAGTAGGACAGATTTAAAATTAATGTTGAAAATTCTAACTTTTTGTTGAGTTAGTTATGATTTTGTTTTTCTAGAATTAACTCAGAATATCGTAAACGCTTCATCAAGCATCTTGATCTATTTGATGCATATCTTCATCAGCTTCTCCTTTGTTATTAGTTATATTACTTTACTTGTAAATAAAATAAGCAAGTCCAAAGTCAGAGTCGGTCCAGATCAGAGTCACTTCAGATCAATCAGTCCAGAGTTCAAACAAGTCCAAAACTGTACTTTATATGAAATCTTAAATAACTTTTGAATTATGAATCCAAGCGAATTTGTTTCGGTTTCCTTCAACGCTGAGCAAGACAAATATATATGGAAAAAATACTTCATTTGTTCAGGTTTAGGAAGCTTAAATAGATTCAAGGAAATATTGCGCTTTTTTGTATTTCATGCATATTAAATAAATCACTTATAACTTCTGAACTATTAGTCTTATCTAACTGATTTTTTTTTTCATTTGATTCAGCTTAAAAAAAAGTACGCAGGAAACATTTATCTTACTTGGTTACATAGTGAATTTTTAACTTTTCCCCTTTCAACTCCCTTTCTACTCAGTAAATTCAAGATCAGAAGGTAGCGTGTTCAAATCACGTCCGGGTCAAAACTATATCTATAAGATGAGGCTGGGATAGCCTGGTTGGTAGGGCACATAGCATCCAACAGCTCGTGTTTTTGATCCCCGCCGGTGGAAAACTCTCTGTGTAGTAAATGGTTACTGATGCACGTTAAATCTGTCGAGTCGTAAAGTCCTCCAGGTTCCCATAACAAATCAATACCTCTGGTGGTACTGATCCAGGAGTTTCCTTGTCTTCTGGATTGGTTCAAAATAACAAGGCTACGGAGTTGATCATTAGTAGTCGTAAGCACAAAAATTGGGTCGGCTGTTCAACGACGAATATAATATTTTAAAAAAAAGTAAATTCAAGACGGCGGTTAAGCCTCCCCTCAGTCGAGGGGGCAAACTAGATATTAGTACTGGGTAAAGGTGGAGTATCTAGGTATTAGAGATAGCAGATGAGGCTCAGTTTGGGGGAGGGGGCAAAATTCAGGTATCGGGGACAAACCACAATTTTTTAAGCAATTTCTATCTGCCTTCTAATTATTTACGTATTGTGCCTTTTTTGTGACATGTGTCCTAATAATGATTTTTAATTATTTATATTTTTCCTCCTTACCTCTACATTTAGGACAGCAATCTCCAGGAGGCATGTATGTTTCAGTTTCGCATTCCATATATTTACAGATCTTTCTACTTTCCCGCCTTATTGCTCCACTAACACATTTAACTGAGGTACAGGAATCAGGATTGATTTCTTCACCATCCATAAGTANAAAATGTGATTATTGTGCCTTTTTTGTGACATGTGCCCTAATAATATTTATATTTTTCCTCCTTACCTCTACATTTGGGACAGCAATCTCCAGGAGGCATGTATGTTTCAGTTTCGCATTCCATATATTTACAGATCTTTCTACTTTCCCGCCTTATTGCTCCACTAACACATTTAACTGAGGTACAGGAATCAGGATTGATTTCTTCACCATCCAAAAGTAAATGCCCAAAGAAGTTACAATCTTCACCCGTTTCATTAAAACCTATTTGAAGAGGAGATTTTAGTAATTAAGTATGTAACAAAGACACATTATAATGACAAATATTTACTAGAAATAAATATTTAAAAAAAATAAGAAGAATATCGAGTCAGAAACACAAAAGGAGACTACTGTTCAACTTTCGAGAGAAATCTGTTGCTATGGAAACAAAATTTTTGTTAATATCATACTCCTATATCTTCGTGACAACAGTAACCACGAAGGTCTAGATTCTGAAGGAGTTCTCGTGAAAGTCAAACAGTACTATTAGGGTACTTCAGTTGTAGATGAAAAACAACAGCACAAAGTGACTTCATAAAATCTCGTTTTATATTTGAGCATAATTGAAGAGTTACAAAATAAGTTTCAAAAGACGTTTCTCGGTAGGTCACGAATATACAATGATTTAAAATCGTTCCTCGTTGTGTTTGAGGCCTTCTTATATGCCACATTCATATCATACTATTCTTAACTAAGCAAAGCATTATGCTTGCACTTTTTCTTATCGATTGTGCTCACTTCCCTATTGTCAATAATAATCACAATGTCTTTAACCCTGACGATACAACATTAATCATCAAATTCATCTACCGAAAAAGGTAATTGGCGATATCTACAAAGTCACCCCGGATGCTATTTTCCAATCCAGTGGCGTTTGGTGACCCTCTCTCTTGTTTGGCATTTTCTAAAATTAAAAATTTGATTCTTGGCTTTTTTTAAAGTTCAAGTAACAAATCTTAAGACAAATAAAAGCTTACATTATAATTGCGACCAATTACAATCCAGAGAAAAATCTCTAAAAAAAAAGAGAGAGAGAGTCGTTAAACGCCACTGGTTTGTAAATTAGCGTCCCGGATATTGGAGTGGTGTGCTGAATGGAAAATTGTCATTCATGGTATCAAATAGGCAAAGAAAACGCATCAACATCATAAATATTCTTTATGAGATCATACAAACAATGACCAAAGCTAATAATCTGGTTGCCAACATTAAAAGCAAAATCCTATGAAGAGATCACCTCAATGCAGCTGTGAAGAAAGGAGCGATAGACCCACTAATGAATTTTTATAATCGTCGTTGAACAGCCAACCCGATTTGGGTTTACGATTAATGATGTTTAACTCCGTTGCCTTGTCATAGGTCACATGTGTGGGCATGGGAGGTCTTCTTCGTCTTGAAGTGCGAGTACCCAATTAACATTTTAGACTTTTTTCAGTAGTATTTACAGATCCTTGGTGGCTCAGAGGGTAGGGCGTTCACTTCCCAATGAGGTGAACCGGGTTAAAATCGCAACGTTGGCGATTTCTGCATCCGGCTCGAGGCCGATCAAAGTGCTGAAATTTCCTCAGTGGTTAACGGATCATGTGTTAGAGTCCCTTTATCGTTAGGCTAACAATGGGAGGTTTTTGTGGTTTTACTCTCCAAATGCTGGTTAAGTGCATCAAAAAATCTTCCACGGAGGCAAATTTCTTCTAATAGTTGATCCAGGGGATAGAGCGTTCGTCTTCCAATGTGGCGAACCGGGTTCGAATCCTAGTCGATACGAATTCCGCATCCGGCTTGCACCGACCACAGAGCTGGCGTAAAATATCCTCAGTGGTAGAGTGGTTGACGGACCATGTGTTAGAGTCCCTTGCAGTCAGGTTTACCGTGGGAGTTTCTCGTGGTCTTCCTCTCCATGTAACGCAAATGCGGGTTAGCTCCATCAAAAAGTCCTCCACGAAGGCAAATTTTCCCCAATACTTGATCCAGGAGTTACCTTGTCTTCTGGATTGGGTTCAATATTACAAAGCTACGGAATTGAACATTAGTAGTCGTAAACCAAAAAAAATTAGGTCGACTGTTCGACGACAGTTATAAAATAAAATAAAGAAGTAGTGTTTACAAATTATCAAAGTTTGTCGTCTCAATTTTACTACAAACGTTATATTTTTCTAGGAATTCACAGATGCCAACTGCTCCGGACACGCCAAAATAATTAAAAAAACGGTAATTAACTACAAAGTAAATTTTGCAATAAGTTGACTGTTTATGTTTGCTTTTTAACTGGTATAGCATGACGAAAGTTCTGTAAAGTAGTGAATTATATAAGCCTACGAATTATTTAGAAATAGTGGTGGATAAAAATCTACTAAATTGAATTTATTAAACCAAGAATCTCAATTGATAAACTACCACTTTAAAATATATATTTGCTGTCCGGAGCAAGTTGGCATCTCTGGGAATTGTAGGGAACACTGATACAGTATTTACATAGTTATCGATGTAGGAGCTGAAGATTACCTCAATAGTTAAAGTGTTAGTGCAATAACAATTTTGGTAAACAAAATTTGTTAAATTTTGCTATCGCCTAACTTCACTACATTATAATCAGGTATAGTTGTTTAAGTTGTTTATAGAGAATGATCTGAAAAAATCGCCCCAGAAGTAAAATAAAACGACAAAAAAAGTTTAAATAAATATGTTTTACAAAATTTGTCAAAATTACAGTGTGCGTAGAGCAAGTTAGGTTGTTAGTTTTGTTAATTGTTAAAATTCGAACAAATTATGTACAGTGGGTTTCGACATATAACAGTTTCTTATTTGGGATAATTTTTTCTGCTCACCCTGTAAATCCAGTTGCCCAAATCAAATTTATAATATCAAAAACAGAGTAAGTAAAGCATAGCACTTGCTACCACTTCACAATGTAAGTAAAGAATAGCAATTGCTACCACTTCACAAAGTAAGTAAAGCATAACACTTGCTACCACTTCACAAAGTAAGTAAAGAATAGCAATTGCTACCACTCCAAATTCAACCCATATTCACGACAAATCTCACGTTGAAGTAAAACAAATTGCCCATTTCGCATTAACCTTTTCGAAGGCAGTGGGAAGTATACTTACCACCACTTTTTCACCACTTTTAATTTAGGTTTCCATTTGTTAATAACTTCAGCATTCTTGAAGTGCGTTTGAATAAATTGGTAACCATTTGTTAGTTTAAAAAACGTATAAAAGTTATAAAATACATAATTCCTTTTGAAGTTTGTAGTATTTATAGAATTTATTTTATAAATAAAGAAAAATAAAAGTCAATAAGTTCCTAATAGGTCGTGTTAAATATATTTACCACCTAAAAAATGGCATTTTTATAAACTAAATGAGTTTTTTTTATATCAATTACTGTTCTTAAAACAATTTCAATTCCAAAAATACTTTAATTTACCTTTACTAGAAGTAAATAGCCCACTAAAGAGTTAAAAACATAACTGAAAAAAATCTAGCTCAAACATTGTCGGAAGCATTGTTGGTCACGTTCTTATGGAATCTAGAACAGCACCTTATTATTCTTATCTCAACACAGATCAATCTTGATTCTTTCCATTTTTTTAAAACTTAAATCATTTTTTAAAAATCTAATTTAAAACAGTAACCATTTAATCTCTACACCGTTTTTTTTTTAAA